TGGTTGGGCACTGACCGGGCTCCCCAGGGCAGAGGTCACGGCCCCAAGGCTGCCAGAGCTCCAGGAGGGTTTGGAAAACACTCTCAGGCACAGGGTGAGGTTGTTGGGGTGTCTGTGCAGGGTCAGGAGTTGGACTGGATGATCCTTGTGAGTCCTTCCAACTCAGGAGATTCTATGATTTTAACAGTGGTGAAGCATGTGCATCCAAGTCTCTCCCAGGAGATGGTAAGGAATATCAGGGAAGGAACAGGAAGGGCCTGGGGTGGGGGTCTGCAGGGAGAGCAGAGGGTGCTGCAGCCCATCCCAGCCCTGCTCCCCTCTGAGCTGGGGGGATCTCCAGCCCACACTGGGGTACAGGGCAGCAGGACCTGGAGTGGGATGGACACAGGCTGGGGTTCACACAGAGAAGACCCACAGGAGGCCTGTGCTCCAAGAGCAGTAGCAGTAGGAGGGCAATGAGTTCCATGCTCTCTGTCCATCCCTGCTCCTTCCCCCTGGAGATGCCAGGCTGGGATCAGGCTGGCTGTGTCACCCCATGATTCCTGGGCTGGAGAACAAGTGTTTGGACTCCCACCAGGGAGGGTCAGAATGGCCTTTTTCCTGCAAATATAGGATGGAACCCAAAATTAAATCCGCCCTCATCAGCAATGCAAGAAAAGGACCCGGGGAGAGGGCAGGGAATGCAGCAGTAACAGCAGGATGGGGAGCTCAGCTGGACCCTCCTTTCCAGCCTGGCACCACAGTGCTCTGGCATGACACGAGTGTGGAAGGTCTCAGGGGCTGCTGAGTCCCCCTCACCATTGGCACAGGCTCTTCCTGAAGTGCCACCAAAACAGCCAAGGGCATCTGGCTTGGACCAGCAAGACAGAAAGACACTGAGGGTCTGGAGTGTGTCCAGGGAAGGGAATGGAGCTGGGGAAGGGGCTGGAGCACCAGGAGCAGCTGGGGGAGCCCAGCCTGGAGAAAAGGAGGCTCAGGGGGGACCTTCTCACTCTCTGCATCTCTCTGACAGGAGGAGGGAGCCAGGAGGGGTCAGGCTCTGCTCCCAGGGAACAAGGGACAGGAGGAGAGGAAACGGCCTCAAACTGCACCAGGGGAGGGTCAGGTTGGATATTAGGAGGAATTTCTTCAAGGAAAGGATAGTATAATGTTGGAAGGGGCTTGTAGTCCCCATCCCTGGAGGTGTTCAAGGGACAACTGGACATGGCACTCAGTGCTCTGGGCTGGGTGATACCGTGGTGTTTGGTCAAAGGTTGGACTTCATGGCCTTGGAGGTCTTTTCCAACCCCAGCGATCCTGTGGAATCCAGTCCATGCCCTGGGGGCTGGCTCAGAGTCCCCACCAGCACCCATTGTTTGGGAGCTGAAGCAATCGGAGCTGAAGCCTGGCAGGCCCTGCTCCAAGGGCTGTCCCGGGAGGGCCGTTTAGCACCAGGGCTGGACTCCTCTGCCATCATTCCAGAGATGCCTCCAAACGCAGCCAAGCGGCGCCACACGAGGTCACTGAGGTCGGGAGGGCACGGAGCCAGCCCGGGCATGGGATTTGTGAATGAGAGTGGTACAGGCAGTGCCAGAGGGAGAGACTGTGCCCCTGGAGAGGGGCTCCCTGAGCCCTTCCCTTGGAGGCAGCAGTTCCCTCACAGCCTGGCGCCAGCAGGGAGCAAAGGCGTCCCAAGGGCAGGAGACTGCTGCTGTCTGACACTGAAGTGGCACCACAGCACATGGCTTCTTTCCCAGCCTCATTCCAAGAAGGCCCAGTACATCCACTCCTTCCCCACCTTCTGGCTATTAGATGCTTGTCCTTGATTTACTCGCTGCCGGAGCAAAGGCTGCTCTGTCTGGGGAGTTCTTGGGGCTGCTCCCTCTGCATGAAGCAACCTCAGCTGCATTCTGGCTGGGAGCTGGGAGGCAGCAGGACTTGCTGGGACTGGGCCCACATGACAAACACGTGTGATCATGGTGCTGCTCGTTCCAGCTCAGCACAAGTAACACTCCCACAATGGGTAAAGCATCCTCCAGCTTCCAGAGGGAGGGTGAGGTGGATTTGGGGTGTCTTAGTAGCTGGTTATCCCCAGTAAGGGTCTGCCTCATTAGGCAGCCAGTTTATTAGTGACAGGTAATAATGGAAACTCTCCAAATTCCCCAGGGAAGTCTGAGCACCACCTCCTCAGGAAGGAGCTGTCTCTGCCACCTGAGGAACCCAGGATTTGAGTCCCAGCCCATCCATGTCTGTAATAAAAAAAAAAATATCCATAAACCATATTTCCCTTGGAATACCAGCAGGAAAACACCCATAAACCATATTTCCCTTGAAATACCAGCAGCAGTAGTAGAAGGAGAGAAGCCAGAGGAAGGCTGAGCAAACCCTTTCTCTCCTCAAGGGCCATGTGTGAGCTGCTGGTGATGCAGGAGCAGGGAGTGGGAGGAGCAGATAATGTTTTCCCAGGCAGGGGAAACTCCCAGGTGGAAATAGTGCTGTGCCCTGGAAACAGAGCTCTCAGCAAACAGGGCAGGGCTGGTGCAGCCTCATCTCATTAGGTGGTGCTGAACTGGGCACAGGCTCTTTTTAGACCAGAAAAGACAGGACATTGCTGACCTGGCTGCAGTGCTCTCCCTGAGCCATGAAGTGACAGGACAGGGGGGAACAGCTTTAAGCTAAAAAGAGTAGAAATTTACACTGGATATTGGGAAGAAATTCTTCCCTGTGAAGGTGATGAGGCCCTGGTGCAGGTTGCCCAGAGAAGCTGTGGCTGCCCCATTCCTGGAACTGTCCAAGGCCAGGTTGGATGGAGCTTGGAGCAACCTGGGCTAGTGGAAGGTGTCTGGGGGTTGGACCAAATGATGTTTAAAAGCCTCTTCTGATCCAAACCGTCCTGTGATTCCAAGAACCCTGGTCTGATC